CATATGGTGGGCTTCACTCTCATGTGTTAATATCAATCATTCGGAACAATAAAAATTCAGATTGGATGGTTCGCATTGTCGTATGAACACTCTTCCCAGAGTGGCTCTCTGTGTTTAATGTTATTCCTTAAATTTAACAATCCCTATTTATCAATCCACCATTTCAAATATAAGACGCTACAGACTACAATTCAGAAAAAATTGGAAAACACAGCAGTTCCTAAAACATAAAACAATATTGCTATCAATCACTATACTTTACGACACATTTCCTCTTCGACAACTGTGTAATCACTTCCGGTATGGAGGTTAGTTATTTTTTTCTCAATGGCGTCGAACTACCTCAACATCCTCATTAACATGGGGAGCATCACATTATGCAGTTCAATGTTCAAGCCTCACGTCATATCATCAACCACTACAATCCAATGTCTTGAAGAGTAATTGCCTCTTCATTTGTTGTCATTGACTAAGGGGTATGCTTCTCTTCCTCTTCATCATCCTCTTCCTTTGGCACAAGTTCAACATCACCGCCATCAACTTCTTCATATCCATCGTCATCCTATGGGTGCTCTATCAGGCTAACCTCGTCCCTTGAGTCCTCCGCATCATCCTCATCAACGTTTTCATGAGTATTGGCATTTGTAGGGGTCATCTTTCTCGTCCTCTAGATGATCTTTGACATCATCAACCATCTCTTTCACACACTAGTCTTCTTCAAGATTAACGCGGTCATCAACTTTGGTGCCTTCTCTCATGTTTAAGCATCACACGTCTTATCATCGAACCCAAAGAATGTCATCTGCCTATGAAACAGTAATAAAAAACAATGTATGTTAATGGAATATGAACAGGAAAAATTCAATTCAAATTGACAAAACAAACTCAGTCAAACCCGTCAAGGCAATGGGTATTGCACTGAGTTTGCAACCAATTCAATTCATTCATAAGTTTTAAACGCACAATGGATAGCGGTTATGCCTAGCCTTCACATATCAAAATGGGAGATAATCCATGATAGGGAATTGAAAGTGAGAACTCATATTTGCTATTGTCAATTAACTAATACTAAGCAAACTAATCATAACGAATTGCTAACAGAAAGCCAATCAGAAATTGCATTGGTATAACAAAAGGAAAGAATGCATGAAAATTGAGTTTGATAACTGCATAGTAATTCCCCATTCCTCAAACACCACCATCTACTATGTTTTTATCTAGTTCTGATATATAATCTAGGAAAAGATATTTTGCCTCTCAGCTAACTAAAATATGCAGGCTCAATGTACATCAGTTTCAAAGACCGTAGCTTACTACTCACCACGAAACAGGAGCAAAAATCTCTACCACCAGGTAAGGAAAAGTTGCATGCCAACTCCAACACCTATATACCCAACCCACACCGTAGGAGTCAGTAACAACAGACTTACACACACAAAAGAGAACTGAAACAATTCCGAGACTCTTAATTAATAGCCTGCATAAAAGAACGACGTACATTGATGCAAGTTTGGTTATATGAGAAATTGAATAGGATGATGAACTAGGGAAGAAATGATTTTGATGAGTGAAAGTTGTTGTAAAAAGAGAGCTAATTATATAATGACTATTATAGTACTAACATACCATCCCATTTGTTCCTTGGCGGGGGTGTTTAAGAGGGCGACCAATTTGAGATGGAAGTTGAGAACTCTGCCAGTAGCCTCTCTATCTGCCAAAATATCTTTTGAGTAAGCTCAAGTTCACCCAAAATCCTTCGGCTTCATTTATAAACCTGCTTTTGGCGCTCCACACTCTTGCTGATATTGTGATATTATATGTATTCAACCATCTAAAGATGAAAACATGGTCACCTGGTATATGGATTCTAATATATGATGAGAGGTCTTATAATACTTCTTCAGCATTTCATGGAGCAAGTTATGAGCGGAGCAAAAAACCTAATACAATGATGAGCAAGACTGAAGCTTCCTACTTGGCCAGTTCATTACGCAGGTTATGAATAATACATAGTAGATTCCAAATTTGGTTCATGACTACACTTATACCCAAAAAAATTCAGATGCTTTGATTTGTGATTTAGTTCATTGACTATATTGTGAATGAGAAAAGCCACCAGAGAAATAACATTGAGAAGACATAAACAAATGAAACACGCACAGCAGTAGCTCGACTTAAATGCAAATTCCATTGAGTTTGTGCTACTTTCACACAATTCACTAATATGAAATTAAGTAATTCTATTTGGGAGATGGTCATGAAGTTATGTAAGTGAAATTGAAGGTGATTTTGAGAGAAGAAAACGCCAACAATCTCTTAAATATGCACGGATGCTACAGAAACAAGAAACCAAACCTCGGACCTAAATATGAAGGAAGTATAGAAGAAAGCACAAAGGTAAGATTAACCAAAAGACACAACTAATCCAAGCAAAAACATACGCAATTATGGATTAACAACAAAAGGAAATGGCAATACCAAATTCTTGCTTTCTTCCTAGCTTATGTAATTCGCCAATGTGCATACCATCAGATTCCCCCCTTTCTAGTGCATGGACAATATATCATGGCTTATTCCCCAATGTGCATACCATTAGACTCCCGCCTTTCTAGTTGTGTACAATATATAATGGCCTAGTTGATGTAGACCTCCAGACATATCATTTTTACTATTTTTCGATTTTACCAAAATTTTGGAAGTTAGAAGGTTCAATTGATATAGCAACACTATTCAGTATGCATATGTGTACCTATGTACCTTAGCTTACAGGTGTCTTTCTGAAAGTTCCACACTCATACCATCTGAAGTGGGATTTCCCAACTATAGAAGACCAACAAAAAGTGAAACAACTGCAAAATCAAGACTCTGAATATCATAGGTTGCATTCAAAAAGGGTTAAAGAAAAAAGAGAACCATTACAAGTGTAATTGTGGGTTGCCTGCAACTTAAGGGAGGGTTGTTTGCTGAGGTTTTTTGAAAGCAGCCTATACCTTGCAAGTTTCCCTTTTAAATTAAAGATATTCACAAAGGCAAAAGATAAAAATATTCCCATGTCATCGATCAACAAGTATATAAGGAACATTACCACAAAGCGTTAATATAATGTGAGAATAGTATCTTGGTGATAACATGCCAGCTTCATTTTTGACGATGAAACAAAGAAATGGACAGACTAGGGAACGTGAAACTTGGGGACCAACAGGTGAAGTACTTTGAATGCATAGCGAAAGTGGAAGTTAATAAAGCTCACTAAACATAACCCATGCTCTGTTGTGGTGTTTTAAAAAGATCTTAAAATTACATATGAGTAGTTTTTATTAGAAAAAAAAGTGATCTAACCCAGATAGCTAAAACATTATATCTTATCAAATAACAAATGCAAAGGCGACAGGGTAATTGAATCTAATCTTTCAACCATCATTAATTAATGAACAAACAAACAATGTATGAAAGTGCGGAACATCCAAAGAGGGAAAGCTTACTTTGCGTCTGCTGCTAATGGTTAGAATGTTCGTAATGAAATTAACGCTTCAATGAAATGGACGCCCTTGTAACAGGCGTCGTCGACCCAGTGACTGAGGGATCAAAACCTGCACATGAACTAAAGTTTAGAAGCTATGCAGGTCCAGGATATTTCCTCCACCACAAATGCATATGAAAAGGTGATTCGGGCCTAAATGTACACTTTTTATCCTCATTTCTCTTTGATGTTTACGCATTTGTACTCCAAAAGGGTGATTTTACGTTAGGTTTCTTGTGTTTCAGAGTCTAAAAGGTGAAACCAACCCCCGAAGTCAGAAGTTGGAAGAAAAAGGAGCAAAGACTAGGCAAAAAGGACTAATCAGCCGCAGTTCATGGTCAAACATTGGAGTTCAAGGTCGCCATGATCGTGAACTGGAACCACAAATTCTGAACCGCGAAGCGTTAGAGGGGTTTCAAAGGTTACTTATGCCGAGACAATTCACGGTCGCTAAGACCGTGAACTAGGACCATGAACCGTGGACCTCATAAGTGAAGTTGCGCGTTTTGATCATAGTTCACGGTCGTGGCCTGATGTTCACTGCCATGAACTTGATATGATCTCAAATTGGTCCTTAATCAAGCTGGAATTAATTGATCAAGGAGGTAAGCTAAGTACATTTAAGAACACTGAATTTTGGCTAAGTCCTTTTATAGTTTCAGGTAGCCAACTATGGACGTGTGAAACTTTCTATTGGTTCGATGGAAATGGATCTTTGAGGGTTTGTTTTGAAGCTGGTGTCACCCTCTACACATTGACATGCTTTGGAGATCAATTGGAAAACCCAGAAGGTTGTTTTACAGCATGTGCAAAAGTGGAAGTTGAAACTCGAAAGCTGGTAGAAAAAGACTAAGGCATTTGAGATAGTTCGAGGAGGGGACTTTGGAGCTCGATTTCTGGAGATTGAGGAAGAGTCGATTTTCCATATTCATAACTCATGAAATTAGGTTTCTTCTGCTACAATGACATGGCATTGGATGACTAGAATGAAGACTAGAAGGCCTCGAACGAAAGCTCCAAAGATCGTATCGAAGCAGAGTTTCTGTCTCGGATTAGGATTCCTTTACTATTTTGTGTTTAATTCCTTTTCATTGTTGGTTTTGAATTCCTCTCTCAATTGTAATGTGTTTAGAGTTCTACTAAGAGTAATAGGATTGGCTAGGTCTATTTAAGTAGCTTTGATTCATTGTAATTTTCAGTTTTTGAGTTGAATTGAATAAACCGCAAGGTTGAGTTCCATAGCTTTTGCTTTGTGAATTTGGAGATCTTCCTAGTTGATTCTAAGTGAGATTTCGAGCTTTTATCGTTTAGTTAGTTCCACTGATCGTGGCCAAGCATGTACCCTAAGTTTTCGAGCCTCTTTCCCTACGAGAAAGTTGCACGAAATCACCATCCCAAACACGAGCTTTAAACTCTGTTTTCGAGTTCTAATTTTCGAATTCACTTCAATCCTTGATTGAATTCGATTGCTGTGCTTTCTATGATCCAAGCTACCCAATTAGGGGCTTATCAAGTGGCATCACAAGCCTCGTTCAAAATAGAGGCCAGAACGGATGAAAACATCACTGCTATGACGGCCTGGACGAGATCAAAAGGGTCTGTTTCCGACGACCCTGCATCGGTGTTCCCAGAACCAACAAAGAAGAAGAAACAGACAGCCATAGCAGGACAGGTGTTCGGCATGGAAAAAGTACTAGATCGCATGAAGGAGAGGTTCCAAATTCAAATCCAGGACCAACTGGGCCAGTTTAAACGCGAATTTGACCAAAAATTCAAGGCTCTGTCGCTGTCGAGGAATGAAGTCCAAGTAGGGGAAGTCATCGGTCGAGAGAACCCAGTTGGCAATCCAATGTTGCTGAATTGAATTTCTGAGGTGGAGCGACGTCTGATCGTCGCTGAGCCTTAACAAGACCGCCAGCATCGCAATCGACCGGATTGGCAGCATGACGTGGAGGCGGCAGTACCACCAGGAATTAAGCTAGCCGTACCGTCGTTTCAGGGGCCGATGAACCCTTCAACATACCTTGACTGGGAAAGAAAAATTGTCCTTTTATTTTAGTGTGGTCAATTCGTGAGGCCCAGAAAGTGGCCATGGCCACTTTTGAGTTTAGGGATTATGCTGCCCAGTAGTGAGAACAACTTCAATGTCGGCGGCAGCAAAACCAGAGAAATTCGATGGCGACGTGGGAGGAGTTACGAAGATTAATGAGGGGCAGGTTCGTTCCTGCCTATTATCAAAGGGAAATCTACGAATCCTTGCAAGGAATTCGACATGGAGGTAGAAGCGTGGAGGATTTTTTTCCGAGAACTGGAGTTGCTGATGATGCGCGCCGACGTCATGGAGGATCGAGAAGCGACGATTGCTCGCTTTCTCCATGGTCTGAACAGGGAACTCCGGCAGGAGGTTGAGCTTAGTGACTTTGTCGACTTGGAGGAAGCTCTTCACCTCGCAATTAAAGTCTAAAGGCAGCAGAGAACCTCAAGGAAGAGCACTCCGGCAAGCAAGGCAGGGACAGAGACACCTGCCGAGGCAATCCCCAACAATTGCGACTCGATTCAGGAAAATTGAATCCGAGGAACGCTTAACCACCCTCTAATGAACTCTTTGGAGGGATACAATGCTACAAGTGCCACAGAAGAGGGCACAAGGTCAACCAGAGCCCTAACTTGAAGACTCTGGTGATCAGAGACGACAAGTTTCTCACCAACGATGAGCAAAATTCTAGCGACGAGGAAGTTGATGAGAAAATTGAAGTCGAGCCTCCACCTGGAAAACTTATTTCATTCTCTCGTTGTTTGGTTGCCAGGAAACTCTTGTCGATGATCGTTGACGGAGGCAGCTGTGCCAACGTGATCAACCAAGATGTTGTGGACAAACTCGGATTAAAAACTACCAGGCATCTATACCCTTATAACATACATTGGCTTAACGATTACGGAGCAGTTTGAGTGTCAAGCCAAGCACGGGTGAAGTTTGAGATTGGACCTTACCATGACGAGCTCGAATTTGACGTTGCCCCAATGCAAGCTGCGCATTTACTTCTCGGGAGGCCCTGGCAATTCGACCGAGTTGTATGCCACTACGGAGGGTCGAATTGTTACAAAGTTCGGCACAAGGGGAAGGAGATTTTGCAAAAACCCCTGTCACCGGAAGAAGTCCGAGAAGATCGACGGCAGCTTGAAGCCACTCAACGTCGATCCAAAGGTAAATCAAGTGGTAATTCCGGCGAGGGAGACAATGCCGCCACTCTTATCACTCGGCGATATATGTTGACTGGGTACAAGAAAGAAAGGAAGATTCGCCGCCGCCGACCCTGACAACCATCGTCGGAGCAGAGTAGGAGAGAGAGTGAACTGGTCGGAGCAACTGGCGAAGAGTTGATCCAAACGGCGACTGCAGGCACATTCCAAATTGCGCTAGGAAGCTCAAATGAAAGTTGGATTTGAACGAATATACCTGGATTGCTGAATCCAATTCGACCAAAAATTACTCTGGAAACGAGCCAACTCGACCAAAAATCGAGTCTATTGGTTGGATCGATTGGGGATGATTCAACACACATGGCTGATGCCGCAGTGTTGGGGACATCCCAGGAAGCTATAGGAATGGCCTAATTGGGCTGGCGAGGCCTAAATAAAAAATGCCCAAATCTAATTCAAGTTTGCTGAGTTTTGAGTTTTTGAACTGCGTCCATTGCGCGAAAGAAGATGTCGACGATTCGACGACAAAGACAATGATTCGAGCCACGAGGCCCATCCAGAACTTCAATTCAAAGCAAAAGGAAGCCATTGGTGGACTTGAATTGGATTGCAGATCCCTAAATGCAAAAGCCCCAATTTTGCACATGAAGAACGTTGACCTTGTTTTCCAGAATTGCGAGCTGGGGAAACCATTTTCAGACCCGATTTGGGATCAATTTTGTGAGTCATATGAGGAAGGAAGGGCCAAACCTTTGAGGTCAAAGTTTTTTTTATGGGGGCGGGACGGATATGATCTCAAATTGGTCCTTAATCACGGTGGAATTGATTGATCAAGAAGGTAAACTAAGTACATTAAAGAACACCGAATTTCGGCTAAGTCCTTTTATAGTTTCATGTAGCCAACTTTGGACAAAACGGTCACAAACCTGTAATTTTGCACGTTTTAGTAACATATGTTTAGACTAATAACAGAAAGGTAATTCCGTCCATCTCCATCCAAAATTTTGTTCGTTTGGTCCAGTCACTTGTCCAGTCAGCATCCACATCATCATAATTATTAATAAAAAATAAATTTAAACCAATAAATAAAAATCCATTAAACCCAAACTTACCCACCACTTCAATCCATTCCAACCCATTCCCTCGTCAACTCCACCTTGAAATTCAATCCTAAAAAACTCTACACCTCCCGCAACTGTGTCGAACCCCACTCCCTCCTCCCCTAACCTCAATAAAATGCAAGCTAAAATCCTCCGGAGAAATTAAGAAGCAAAACGCCTCTAAAAAGATTTAGCTATGGAATTCCGCTCCGCCGTTGTCGGAAGAGGAAAGTAACGGCGACAGTGGGAAGAAGGAGCATGTCGAGGCTGGGAGTGGAACTAATGCAGTGTTGTAGTCGGTGAAGAAATTTTCGAGGAAAGTTTTGTCTCTGCTGTCGATTTTGCCTCTAGATTGGATTGAAGTGGTGGGTTGGTAAGGGTTTAATTGATTTTTATTTATTGGTTTTATTTTATTTTTTATTAATTAACTTTTGATGATATGGATGCTTACTGGACAGTTGATTGGACCAAACTAACAAAATTTTGGATGGAGATGGACGAAATTACCATTTTGTTATTAGTCCAACCATATGTTACTGAAATGTGCAAAATTAAAGGTTTGTGACCGTTTTTTACAATGTGAATAGTTTTGTGACCATTTATGATAATTACCCTATTTTAGTAGCTTTGATTCATTGTAATTTTCAGTTTTTGAGTTGAATTGAATAAACCGCAAGGTTGAGCTCCATAGCTTTTGCTTTGTGAATTCGGAGATCTTCCTAGCTGATTCTAGGTGAGATTTCGAGCTTGTATCGTTTAGCTAGTCCGACTGATCGTGGCCAAGCATCTACCCTAAGTTTTCGAGCCTCTTTCCCTACAAGAAAGTTGCACGAAATCACCATTCCAAACACGAACTTGAAACTCTGTTTTCGAGTTCTAATTTTCGAATTCACTTCAATCCTTGATTGAATACAATTGTTGTGCTTTCTCTGATCCAAGCTACCCAATTAGGGGCTTATTAGAACTGGGACTGTGAACTGGGCGGGATCCGAGTATAAATAGAGAGCTGAAAAGAAGAAGAAGGGGGAGCCCAAAGTGAGAGAAAGCTTCTTCTTGAAACCGTAGAGAGAGAAAGTCACGAACCAAGAGGGAGAAGAGGCTAGGGTTTGTCCCAAGTGAAGAATTTAGAAGATCCTCTTCAAGGGAGGATCTCTACAAGCACAAAGGAGGATTGAGGCATCATCCATGATGGTTTTTCCCCTTTTCCTTTGTGTTCTTCCTTCTTCTAGCATGGAGTAGTATCCTATTCACTTGGGTGTTGTAGAACCCTAACTTATACCATGTAGCTACTAGTATGGATTGAATGATTGTGTGTGGGTGATATTTAATTTGAGATTTTATGTATTTTTCATGGTGATTGTGCATTGTGTGTGCCTTGCAATATGTTGTGCTATTCTAACCTAGCTTAGAGGGAAATCCCCTGTTACACCCCAATCTTGCCAAAAGTCAAAATGACTATTATACCCTTGGGGGAAATTCGTCAAATTCCATTGTAATATCGATGACGACTAAAAATGCGAACTCTCGGTTCAAACAGTGTCGAGTTTCGATATAAATCGAATAAGTTACGGACGTTAGTTGAGTTGCGGATTAAACTCACCTGTAATTGTGAAATCCCCAAAATACCCCTTAAACTATTTAAATCTTAACCCTAAAACCCCCGGTCTCCCATGTACGTTCAGCCCAGTTGAATAAAAGCCAAACCCTACATCTAATGGTAAGAGAGCGGCCAAAAGTTAAAATCTCCACCCATGTTCTGCATCTCCCGAAAGGAACCAAAACCGCCGCTATCCTTTAAGCACAAAAGATAGAGATCAATAGAGGGAGATGGTTCTTATGGTCGGAACCAAAAAGTTGAGAGGAAAAAAGAGATCGATGGGCTGGGACTGCGTCGATGATGAAGGAGCAGCCACAAGAAGCCCTTCTTCCCTCAGCTCCTCTCTTTTTCCCTCGCAAACCGCAACAGCGCGATGCCATATCCATCATCATTGGCTGGTCCTGCAACAATCGAATCAGTGACAGTGGTTGGGCATCAATGTATTGGCTTCTTGGTGGAACCATTGTCGAAGATTCCATGAACCGATTGTTGAGATGAAGACGACAAAGCTCGATGTGGCGGTGGATCCAAGCCACGGAGCCGGGAGTTTGGACGATGAGGACAACATGACAATGAGTCTAGTAAGAAGAATTAGTTTTGCTTAAGAAGGCAACGCATGGTTTCAATGGAGGGCCCGATTGGTAGAGCGTAACGACAAACGAGAAAGGAAGCAGCTTGAGAAGGTACGATCTTCACTCGACCTCCTAATATTGACAAGCAAAAATGGGAGGGGCATGCGTGAGTTCATAATGGCCTTACACTCTGGTATGAATAATTGTAGGAGATTAAATGGTTACAGTGTTGGCTAAACACAAGCATAAAGTTAATTACACTATGGGCGATCACCTTCACTATTTGAAATGCTCTCTAGTGTGCCGACCGGAAACATGGTGCCGACGTCCTCACCCGTTCACTCCGGCCGACCACCGGATCCTGTTCATATAGGAGCGGAGGTTGTCTCCTCGG